GGCCATTAGGGGATGTGAACCCTTGACCTTGGTGTTATCAACACCTCACTCTAACCCACTAAGCTAACCAGCCAGCCTTTGCAATTTTTTGAAATAGTTTAAGTATTGGTATTAGTTCTCCTTAAAATGTTTGGTGAAATTCAGCAATAAAGCCATCTGGTCCTGGGTTTTTCTTTGTTGAGACATTTTATTACTGATTTAATCTCATTACTTGTTATTGGTCTATTTAGGTTTTCTGTTTCTTCTGGCTCAGTCTTCTTAGGTCATATGTCCAGGAATTTATCCAATTCCTCTAGGTTTTCATATTTATTGGCATATAATTGTTCATAATAGTCTCTTATCCTTTGTATTTTGGTGCTACCTGTTGTAATGTTTCCATTTGCACTTCTGATTTCATTTATTTGTGTCTTTTTTTCTTTTTTTTCTTGGGTAGTCTAGCTAATATTTTTTTGATTTTATCTTTTCAAAGAACCAACTTTTTGTTTGATTAATTTTTTGTGTTTTTTAGTCTCAATTTCATTTATTTCTGCTCTGATTTTATTGTTTCTTTTCTTCTACTTATTTTGGGTTTAGTTTGTTCTAGTTTTTCTAGTTCCTTGAGGTTCATTGTTAGGCCATTTATTTGAAATCTTTCTGTGTTTTTGATGTAGGTGTTTATTGCTATAAACTTTCCTCTTTATACTGTCTTGGCTGTATCCCATAGGTTATGGTATGCTGTGTTTCTGTCTTCATTAGTTTCAAGAAATTTTTTCCTCCTTAATGTCTTCTTTGACCTGTTGGTCATTCAAGAGCATGTTGTTTAATTTCCATGTGTTTGTGTAGTTTCAAAGGTTCTTGTTATTGATTCCTAGTTTTATTCCATTATGGTCAGAAAAAATACTTGATAAGATTTTGATTTTTTTGAGCTCATTGAGACTACTTATGTGGCCTAACATATGGTCAGTCCTGGAGAATATCCCATGTGCTGATGAAAAGAATGTGTATTCTGCAGCTATTAGAGGAAATGCTGTTAGGCCCATCTGGTCTACGGTGCTACTTAAGTCTGGTGTTTCCTTGTTGGTTTTTGGTCTCAATGATCTGTTTAATGCTGAGAGTGGGGTGTTAAAGTACCCAGCTAATGTTGCGTTGTTGTCTGTGTCTTCCTTTAGATCTGATAATATTTGCTTTATATATCTGGGTGTTTCAGTATTGGGTACATATATAATTGTTATATCATCTTGTTGTATTGATCCCTTTATCATTATATAGTGCCCTTTTTTGTCCCTTAGTACAGATTTTGATTTAATGTCTGTTACATTTGCATGGAATATCTTTTTCCATCCCTTCACTTTCAGCCTATGTGTTTCTTGTAGACAGCATATGGATGGGTCCTGTTTCTTAATCAATTCAGCCAGTCTTAGTCTTTTAATTGAGCATTTAATCAGTTTACATTAAAGGTTATTAGTGATATGTGAGGGCTTACTCCTGTCTTTTTGTTGGTTGTTTTCTGACTGTTTTGTGTAACCTTTGTTACTTTCTTCCTCTCTTATTTTTTATCATTGCAGTTTTCATTAAAGGTTATTAGTGATATGTGAGGGCTTACTCCTGTCTTTTTGTTGGTTGTTTTCTGATTGTTTTGTGTAACCTTTGTTACTTTCTTCCTCTCTTATTTTTTATCATTGCAGTTTCGTGATTTTATGTATTGGTAAGGTTTAGTTCCTTTGTCTTTCCAATTTGTGTATCTACTCTACTAGTAAGTTTTATATTCTCAGGTGTTTTCGTGATGGTTTTTATCATCTTTTCTCTTCTAGATGTAGGAGTCTCTTAAACATTTCTTGTAAGGCTGGTGTGGTGGTGATGAATTCCCTTAATTTTTGCTTGTCTGAGAAAGACTATTTTTCCTTCATTTCTGAAGGACAGCTTTGCTGGGTATAATATTCTTGGTTGGCAGTTTTTTTCTTTAAGCACCTTGAATGTATCATCTCATTCTCTCCTGCCCTGAGTGTTTCTGCTGAGAAGTCTGCTGTTAGTGTAATGGAAATTCACTTGTAAGTGACTTGATGTTTTTCTCATGCTGTTTTTAGAATTCTCTCTTTGTCTTTAACATGGGGTAGTTTGACTACAGTGTGTCTTGGAGATGACCTATTTGGGTTGACTCTATTTGCAGACTTATGAGCTTCCTGGATTTGGATGTTTGTTTCTTTCCCAAGACTAGGGAAGTTTTTAGATATTATTTCATTAAGCAGGTTTTCAATATCTTTTTTTTTTTTTGAGACCGGCCGCACCGCGCTCAGCCAGTGAGCGGACCGGCCATCCCTATATAGGATCCGAACCCGCGGCGGGAGCGTTGCTGCACTCCCAGTGCCGCACTCTCCCGAGTGTGCCACGGGCTCGGCCCTTCAATATCTTTTTTGTTTTCTTCTCCTTCTGGAATGCCCATAATCTGAATATTTGTTCTCTTAATAGTATCCCATGGATCTTGTAAGCTTTTTTCATTCTTTTTTCTTTTTTTGTCTTCCTGTGTTATTTCCAAACTGCTGTCTTTGAGATCAGAAATTCTTCTGCTTTTTTTTTTTTTTTCCTTTTTGTCTTTTTTCGTGACCAGCAACAGATCGCAACCCTCAGTGTCGCGCCCGTACCGGACCGGGACCGGCCACGGGATCGCAACCCTCAGTGTTGCTCCCACCCCTCGCTCAGCCAGTGAGCGGCCGGTCTGTATGTGGGATCCAAACCCTCGGCGGGAGCGCCACCGCACTTCCCAATCGGCGCACTATAGCAGTGCGCCACCGGGCCAGCCCAGAAATTCTTCTGCTTGATCCAGTCTGTTGTTGAGACTCTCAAATGGTTTTTTAAAAAAATTTCATTCAATGAATTCTTCCATTGCAAGATTTCTGTTAGGTTTTTTAAAATATCTCTTTGTCGAATTTCTCATTTAAATCATGAATTGTTTTTCTGATTTTGCTGAACTGTTTGTATTCTCTTGTATCTTAGTGATTTTCCTTAAGATCATTAATTTGAATTCCTTTTCCAGCATATTGTCAGTTTCCAATCCTTTGGGATAAGTTACTGGAGCATTATTTGGGTTTTTTTGGTGGTGTCATGTTACCTTACTTTTTTATGTTTCTCGTTTCCCTGCATTGATATCTGTGCATCTGGTGGAACAGTCACCTATGAGTTTTGTGGAGTGGCTTGCATAGGGAAAGACTTTTGTCTGCAAGATGTGTCCTAAGGTGTTGATTGGGTAGAGTGCAATGGCTTTGTTCAGGATGAATGCAGTAGTGTAGACTCTGTAATTTCTTTAGCTGTAATACTCTTTAGCTATATCTGTGAGTGACTCAGTGACCTATGCTTGGGAGGTTTGTGGTAGTGGTGGCACAGTTTTGCCAGGGAAGGGATTGCTGAGTTACTTCACAGGCCAGAGGTGTGCACATGCACCCTGTGGGTAAGTCATCTGGGGAGCTGGTTCATTGGAGATGTGGCTCCTGGATTGATTCTGAGGCTGGGGGTGTGGGCATATGGCATGTCAGGGTCTCTGGGACTGGTTTGTCAGTGGCAGGGTCACCATTGCTACTTCTGTGACCAGGAGTGGGCCTGCCAGGGGTATGTCAGCCAAGCTGTTTCTCACTCAAATATGCTCAAAGACTTGGGGATGGGTCTTCTAGGGGCATGACAGCTAGCTGTTTCTCTGACCCAGGGGCATGGGTGCCCTTTGGCTCAGGTAGCTGAGTGTGGGCCTTTCTGCTGTGCCACTTCTTGGGGCCTGATGAGAGGTCGTACTTCCCTCAGCAGTTGAGGAGCTGGAGTGCCAAGGGTGGAGCTGCTGAGCCACTTCTCAGGAAGTGGGTGAGGCCACTAGGCTGGGCTGCAGCAAGGGGGCCTGTCCACCTTCTTTTTGGGCAATGGGCAGGCCACTAGGCTGGCCTGCAGCGAGGGGGCCAGTCTAACTGCTCTGAGACTGATGTTAAGGGCACCAGGCAGGATTGTTTGGGACAGAACTGCCTGGCCGCTTCTCCAGGAGGGCACAGATGCACCTTATTTCCACTGGCCCAAGGGTGTACTCGTTAGGGTAGAGACCCACGAGCTGATTTTCTCAATTGAGGGTTCAGGCACACACAACTCAGTCAGCTAGCAGGGCTAGGGGGTATGGGGAGGAATGGGGGCAGTCTGCCTGAGGAAGGTATGCCTGTCTGATCTCTGGCTAGGGAAGTGAGGGTGCGTCAGTTTGGCAGGACTAGGGTTGGCTTCCCAGACTGCGGAACTAGAGTAATAGTCACTGTGAGCTCAGCTTCAAGCTGCCAGAATCAAGGCATGTGACCTCTCCTGTGAGTGCGCTGGGAAGGCAGAGCCTTAAAACTGGGGAAGCATCATGGCTACTGGCTGGCTGTAGGGCAAGGTGTGTTCCTGGCATCAGCTCTAGTTTCAAGATGATGTGATCCTGCATCAGCTTGGGTCACCAGGGGGGGTATATGGAGTGCACAGTTTGAGCTACTGTCCTAGAGTGTTTTCTAGGCTGCTGCCCGTACTTGGCACCAGGCTTATTCTGCCAAACGATCTGCCAGCCTCTGTGGTGAGGTTGGGGGATTGATTTGGGTCCTCTGCCTGCATTTTCTCCATGAGGGAAAATTCCTCCTGCACCAGTCCCATTGTTGGGGACATGGCAGTTGAGGCTGCATGCCCCTCTCTCCTCTCTGTGCCACCGTCCTGGGCTTTCATGGTCCACCAGGATCTCACCAGTCTCCTGCTGCTTTCCTACACTTTCCCACAGATAGTCCCATCAATATTTAGCTGTCTTTGGGTTGTTCTGGTCCTTTTCTGTGGGAGGAATGCACCCTGGGCACCTCTAGTCCACTATCTTGCCCTGCCTGTAGTGTGTTTCAAAAGTATTATATTAAGGCTAGTATATACTCTGAGGTTACCTTTTTATATATTAATTGTTATTTATTATTAAGAAGCATAGAAATAACATCAGGTTTCAGTCTACTAAACAAGTAAATGTGTTAATAATTCCTTATGTTTTTCAGGTTGCAAATAGAAGAATCATCCAAACCTGTAAGGCTTTCACAACAACTGGAGAAAGTTGTAACAACCAATTACAAACCTGTTTCTAATCATCAATACAATGTAAGTCTTCTGCTCATCTCTCTTTTATTCTTTTCTGTATAATAGATTCTTAGGTTTTGAAAGGACCTCATGCACCTTGCAGTCAGGTGCTTAGATGACAGTACCTAATCCAGACTTAATAAGGAATATAACAATTTGTCAAGCATAGAAAAGATGTTTGCTCTATCTTGTAAGTTATACGATGAGAAGAAGGCAGTCACTGTTTAAACTACTCTTGATAAGGTCTTAAAAGAAATAAAACCAATTCTCAATGTTTCTAATGTTTTAAATTACAATGTACTAAATAAATGTAGTTTTACTGTTTTTTTTCATTTTTCTATTCCTTTGTTGCTGACCATAGAGTTTTTAATGTGTTAACAAAAAAATGACACAGACAGACCCACCACCATCAACATCATTTTTTTTTTCCTTTTTGTCTTTTTTTGTGACCGGTAACGGGATCGCAACCCTCGGTGTCGTGTCTGCACCGTGCTCAACCAGTGAGCGGACCGGTCACTATATGGGATCCGAACCCTCGGCGGGAGCGCTCCCAAGCGCCGCACTCTACCGAGTGCGCCACCAGGCCGGCCCTGTTAACAAAAATTTTTAAAGGTCGTGGAACAATGGTAATTTTCCCCATTGATTATTAAGATCACTTTACCTGGTTTCAGCTTTCACAGGCATTTTTACAGTCTCATACTACCATGCAAAGTGAGAACTGCCCTTATATGTTTTTTATGAGACTAATGTGCTGCTGGAACCATTAAGAAGGCAGTTCTGTATGTTCTTTAAACCTTTTTTATTGATGTATATCTTACATATACTATATGTATTATACGAGAGGTCTTCAGAAAGCTCATAGATTTGTATGATCTTTTAATTCCATTTTTCTACAAACTTTGAAGTACCCTTTTACAATATATGTATACATCTATTGTATACATATTATATGTACTTTTTGCCAGGCACTGTTCTGAGTGCTTCATCAATATTGACATTTAGTCTTCATACCTACCCAACGAAATAACTATTAATGTTATCCTTGTTTTTTTATATATGAGGTAACTCAGACACAGAGAGGTTAGCTTACCTGAGGTCACACAGCCAGTAACTGACCAGTCCATGTGTTGAACCCAGGCCATCTATTTCAGGAGCCATACTTTTAACCACTGTGTATGTTGCTGCAGGTCACTGGCAGTGCTAAAAGGGCTAAAGGTTTTGGGTTTTTTGTTTATTTGTTTGTTGTTTAATATATATATATATATATTTTGTGGCTGGCTGGTATGGAGATCCAAACCCTTGACCTTGGTGTTATAACACTGTACTCTAACTAACTGAGGTAACCAGCCAGTTTTGGGTTTTGAAATACCTGTAATGTAAAGAGAAATGTGATGATTTCCTGAAAATAAAATGAAGCCTAAATTAAGTCGAGGACCAATTAACAGTTGAAATCTTGTGTCCTACTTTGTTGCTTAAGATTCTTCTAGATACTGAATGTAGGAAGAAGTAATCTCTCTTTTGGATGGGACTTAAATATCAAGATTTATTAAGTGACACAGAATAGCATCTGCCAAATCACTACTATGCTGAGTTACCTATGGTTATTTTATATGAGAGGTAGCAAATGCAAACGCCTCCATGGCAAAGCAAGCGTCTTAAATAAGCAGAATGCTGAAATTTAAGAAGGTAAACGTTAGAGACTGTATGACCTGAAGTGCACATGCCCCTATTAAACGTGTTCCCATTTTTTAAATTGCTACGCTATGTGGATTAAACAAAGCAGGTCAAAATTCAGCTGCATCCAGCCACGCTTCTATTTCATAGCCTCTTGTATTAGTCCGTTTGTGTTGCTTGTACACTTTTTGAGGTAAAATAGTGTAGGTCTCAGTCGTCTTTGCCTTTCTTCTTCATTGGTATGCTTCTCCTGTAGCTCCTGACTGCTGTTTTCTCCTTGTACAAACCAGGCTTCTATACAGTTTCTACCATGGTATATTTTTTTATCACAGTGTAGAGAAGAAAGACCATACTTTCATAGGCTGGAAAGAGATATAACCTTTCTGGAGGGAAGTTTGATAATTTGTGTCAAAAGCACTATAAGAGGATATATCCTTTGACCTAGCAATCTTGTGTCTAGGAATTTATCATAGTAAGACAAGTGCCCAAAGATGTATGTACCATAATGTATATTTCTCTTTATCGTATAAGATAGGAAAACATTGGAAACAAATGTGTAATACTGAGGATTGGTTAAATATTTTAAGTCAAGCGATTTTATCCCAATTTTTTTCTTTATAAGATCTTTTTGAATTGTTGGAATTTTCAAAATGATCATGTATTGTCTGAATTGTTACAGTGAGCAGTAAAATTCCTCTGTTGGGATGGGAAGGGGAAGAAAGCTAGGGAAGAGTGTTAGTAGCTAGCCATGAGGTACCCGACTATAGTTGCTTAGATTTGTTTCCTCTCAACAACAAATATTTTTTATTTTTTTATTTTTATTTTATTTTATTTTTTTTAAAGATGACCGGTAAGGGGATCTCAACCCTTGGCTTGGTGTTGTCAGCACCACGCTCAGCCAGTGAGCAAACCGGCCATCCCCATATAGGATCCGAACCCGCGGCCTTGGTGTTATCAGCACCGCACTCTACCGAGTGAGCCACGGGCCGGCCCCAACAAATATTTTTTAAATGCCTGCTTTGTGCCTGAGGTACATACCCCAGGTGAACCAAATAAATAAAATCTCTGTCTTGAAGTATCTACCACTTCTTTCAGTTCTCTGCTTGTGCCTTTTCAGATCTTCAGCTGAGATATAATTTATATTTTCTTTCAAATCCTGAGTCCACAATTCTGTACTATAGTCCTATTTCCTTTAATTCCACTACAAGGGTCACTCTTACTATACTGCTGTAGACCGTCTTTTCTGAGGCAAAAGGCAAATAGATTAGGTTGAGCAAAGCTGGCACTTTGATAGTATCAAAGCTCTGACCTCTGCCTGGGTGATATTCTTACTGACATTGACATTCTACCTAGCAGATACAGAAGGTAGTTTCCAAATGTCATGTTTTTGGATTCTTTATACCTGGTTTTCTTTTTACTAGAAACAACAAATATGTTTCTGAAATCGTTAGTTGATATGGCTATAACATCTACTTTAAAGACTTTTTCTTTTTTTTTTTTTTTTCCCTTTTTGTCTTTTTTACTGACTGGTAACGGGATCGCAACCCTCGGTGTTGCACCCGCACCGTGCTCAGCCAGTGAGCAGGAACCGGTCTCTACATGGGATCCAAAACCTCGGCGGGAGCGCCGCCGCGCTCCCAAGCGTCGCACTCTCCAGTGCGCCACCGGGCTGGCCCTACTTTAAAGACTTTTAATATTTAGTAACATTTCAGTTCAAGGTATAAACCTTTGTTTAGGTTGTCATAGTATAACTGTTATTATAGCAATGAGTTATATGGTAGTCTTTGATTAAAAACTTATTTATATTAAAAACAAAGATTGACTACAGGTTGAGCATCCCTAATCCAAAAATCTGAATTCTAAAATGCTCCAAAATTCAGAACATTTTGAGCACCAACATGACACTGTAAGTAGAAAATTCCGTACCTGATATCATGTGATGGGTCATGTGTTCCATGCACAAAATTATTTAAAATATTGTATAAAATTACCTTTAGGCTATGTGTATAAGGTATATGTGAAACGTAAATGAATTTTGTGTTTAGACTTGAGTCCTATCCCTAAGATAGCTCATCATGTATATGCAAATATTCCAAAATCTGAAAAAATATGAAATCTGAAACACTTCTGGTCCCAAACATTTCCAATATGGGATACTCAGCCTATACCACATTGCATTTGAATGTTTAGTGATTATTTTCTATGGGAGTGTATCAGAATGGATGGGGTCATCTGCATAGCTTTAAAAAGCATTCTCAGTATAGAAGGGGACTGTATTAGTCCGTTTCTGTTGCTTATAATAAAATACCTGGAAGTGGGCAGTTTATAAGAAAATAAAAATTTATTGCTGGGCCGGCCCGGTGGCGCACTGGAGAGTGCACCGCTTGGGAGCGTGGCGGCGCTCCCGCCAAGAAGCATCAGCATAGGTCAGGAGGAATGATTTAGAGGTCACATAGTCAAGATTTTAAATGAAAAATTTTAAACTCAATATAATGTTGAAATGTCTTCAAAGTTTTGCCAGAGGGAGCTATATAAACATGAAGCCCAACCAACTACATTGTATATTGAGAAGTTTAAAAAAAAAAAAAATGAAGTTCTTTGTGATTTTTGGAATAAAAATAAGGAAAAATTTTTGTACAAAAAGTGGAAGGGGGGTGGCAAATTGCATATGTGTTTGTAAAACTACATCCCTACATTTGATCAGAAAGAAGAAACCTTATATTTTATCCCAGAAACTTTTTCTCATCTCCCTATGGCACATAGATAGATAGATAAATAAATATAAATATAAATATATAAAATATCTAAATATTTGAACTCCCACTTTTGTACGTGGAGCTATTCTAAGCATTATATTCAAAATTATCTCCTTAGTTCACAAATTATATGGAATATGATACCTCCTGTACTTGCTGTTCAGAAAACATTGAGCCAAAAAGAACTGTAAAATTAGCATAATCTCTTAGAACACCCCTTCCTTGAAAGCTCCGCTTTGAAAGCTCCCCTCTTACTAGGATATGGCCTGTTGGGTTTCTCCCTAAGTGGCCTTTCCTCTGCCTTAAATCTTCATTAAGTTTCTGAAACTCAAACCAGTTCATGTAGGCCAATATTTTCCAAAGTAAGTTTTCTTAAACACTTTGTTAGAGTCTCCTTGAGGGGAAGAAAGAGTTTTGTAAAAAGGATTCTGTTGTAGATTCTGATTATTTCGCCCGTCAAAATTGACACTGCATTTTAACCTATTAAAGATTGGGTACCTTGAGAAATTTGTTTAATCCAATTTGTTTAATTTGTTTTTGCAAACATTTGAACATCAAATTCTCCTTCCCCAATTCTTTGAAGTAGTGAGG